CATGCCCCTTTATAGCAGGTGTGACAGTGCTGCTCTCCATACTAGCCAAATTGAAATCTGCTAAAAACGGACCAAGTGGTAACCCATTTCTCTGTCTATAGATGTCGTTGCTGAAAATAATTTGGACATTTAGCGTACATTGCACTATGAGCCCTTTTAGGTATGATGTGGGCATTCCCACGTCTACATCATGTAAGTCTATGTAATTACAAATGATGCCTACAGTTTCATTTAATGGAACATTGGAAAACAACGAGGACACATCAAGTGATAACATATTTTTCCCAGAAACATTAATATCATTAGCGCACTTAATGCATTCAAAAGTGTTGTACAAAGAAGGGTGATAGACTTGCCTTCTTAGTGGTTCAAAGAGTTCTGCCATCCATCTTGCGACATAATGATACGGTGAAGCTGCCATGTCTAAAAATAGGACGTATTGGTAATCCAGATTTGCGGATTTTCGGCAAATCATAGAGTTGAGGAATGATAGATCCAGAAGGTCTTAACCTTATAACTTATATATATGTAACTTGTATAACTCGGTTGTCGATAATGAATCATTCTTCGTTCGTTTCAGAACCTTTTTGATTTGTTCCTCTGTCATTTCTGTCTTGCCCTTCTCACATTCAGGTTTCTGAAATTTCGTCTCATCGGACAAGATGTTTTGCATTTTGTCAATGTAATCTCTCTGGTCCATCGTTACAATCCAAGTACCTTTATCTGGTCATGTTAGAAGGATATTCTTATATATATATATATATATATATATATATGTCTCTCTTCGCAGAGCTCACTATTCCATACGTTTCTTTCTCTTGCTTAATGCTTTGTTATTCACTAAATAAATTATTGTCTTTTTGTGCTTCTTCTTAACCTGTTATGCAGTGTATTAGTTTAGTTTACTTTTCGAAAGTAGCCATTCATATTACAACAACTTCTGTGAGTTTAAATCTGAGATGAAGAAATAGATGTTTATGACAGATATATAATAGGAAAAAATGAAAGGCATTGTCAGTAGGGCTTGCACTCTAAAAAGCAGGTTGGTGATGACTGCAGATCTGTATGTCTGCAAGTGAAAGCATAAAGGAACTACCCATAGTTGTGGGACTGCACTGAATTACAATACCGCTTTGAAGGTTAAGTCAACTTGAAATGAATAAATATCATATATTCAAAACAAAGAACTCTCAGATGAACAACATGTCATTTCGTTCACTGTCATACATCTGTTATAATTTCGTTGTTTTCAGTACCACATGATAACTTGGTCTCCAGTATAATAATATGAGATGTCAGCATACGGGTTGGAGTTGAGTTATCTCACTTCTGAGTCCCATGATTTCTCTGTAAAGATACCGGGTAGTTTCACTGATCACAGTTGCTTTTTTTAGTATTCCTCGCTGATATTGCGCCTAGTTTGAGACTTAAACTAACAGATCGACCATTGTGACTGCAATTGTCCCTGCATCGTTGTTTCTTGAGCGTTCGCTTGTCAATAGGATATATGTCTCTTTGCTCTACGACCACGGAGTCACTCTTCCTTACTGTCTCTGCAGGGCTCAAGGCTTGCTGTCATATCTTCAACTGTAACCACTCATAATGTATCTAGTTTCTTCGCACACTTGCAGAATATCATTTAAGATGTCCAGGCATCCAAAATGTAGTTTATTCCCTTCTTAATCAGATCTTCTGCATGGTCTTTTACTGCCCCATACATTTATTCTTTCATAAAATTTCTAATTTCTTTCCCATGACTTCTAAGCTTCACACTGGTGTTGATATTTCTACAAAGTTTCAATAATTGATTAGCAAATGTTCAATATTTCAAACTGGGTCGAACATCTCATCCGGAAATTGAGCAGTCATAGTTTGCTCCGTGACAACTTTGATAGACTGACAAGTTTTATCTTTACTGAATCCCTGCTATCTTGGGCCAGTATAATCTGGGTTTTTTTTCTACACATCCTGATGTCTGTTCTTGATTAATTAGCTGGTTGACAAATGAATCTGGAATTGTATGACGTTGGTTGTAGGCAGTCCATATTTTTCAATGTCATTTAGTGCATTTTCTGACATGAAATTTATAAAGAGAACTTGAACCAATTTTTTCTGCATATATATATATATATGCATTGCAATTAATACGAGCTTTGGGATAGTGTGAGTTTTGATGACACGCAAATTGGTTTCATACTTATTTTCCTGCTTAAGCTCTGATTATATAGAATTTCACAAATACTTATGCTACACTGACATTCGCAACACCTTTATCAACAGGCAGAGAAAATTTATTTATTCTATTCTTGGTTTGACAGATGACCAATGCAACTGTGATGCATAAGTGCATTTTTCACGGGGGAGTGAGAACTTTCATGTAGTCAGATTTGAAGAAATGGGTGAATAACAGTGCAAAAGTTTGCAATGTATTTGATATGCTTAAGCTTGAAATGGTTTCACAAGGTTAAAATATTTATCACTCCACTGAAATATTTAGTGGTCTTATATGTTTAGAGGCCATAGCTGTTAACTTTTGTGTCAGCATGTCTTGATTTTGTCTGATCCATATTGCAGTAAAGTTTCTTTCAGTCACATTTTCAGAAATGTCAGGCTGCTGAGCAACATACCATTGCATGCAATTATAGTTATCATTCGGCGTTTGAAGACTATTCAGAAGTTGTGGATATATATATGTATATACAAAGACAATTCAGACAAGGAAATTTCTTTCTTATGACAAGTGAGGAAAAGTGTGTTACTATCTACTACTGAGGGTTTTTGTGTTTGCAAAAGATACATAGATGATACCTTCATCATATGTAACAAAGATGCCGACACCAAAGTGACAACGATGGGGCTCAGTGATAATCACCAGTCAGCCAAGTTTATTTTGGGATCCAAGACTAACTCCGAACTTCACATTTTGGAAGTCTTGTTGGAAAGAAAGTCTGATGGTTGACTTTAGATGATATGGAAAGGACATACTACAGACTTTTGCCACTTCACTTTGTGTTTATAAATTCACTGGTTCTTGTGGAGCTAGTTATATTGGCGGCACAAATGGCACACTTTCCAAATGCATCTCAGAACACAGTCCAGCATGTTTATCGGAAGAACAATGCAAGCAACTTACTAGCTCACTTCTCTAGTACCTGTTGAGCTCAGAACATGCAGCTCCACTATAGTTCCATCTCGAAATTATCAACAAAGTAGGATCTAATCGTAGAATGGGTGTAATGTTTGGACATTTATGTATGGTGGAGGTGCTACAGATTCATCAACATAACCCCGAACTAAGTGTGCAGAAAATATTTGTCCAGTTTCTTCTTCCACCTAAGTATTGAACTACTGTCTACTTGTCTGCTTCTATTTTTGGCAATAAATTCTCTGTTATCAGTCCTCGCTTGTCAGTCTTTTGTGCACTTTACTATCTTCCTTTCTCATCTTATTCACACTTATCAATTGGGCATTCAACCATCTTGCTGATCAACTAATAACGATCATGACATTATCAAATTTCAACCCCTTACTTCCGTTGTATCAACGATCATTAAGTAATTTCTTCTCATCTCTAGGAATCACTCATGTCACATATTCCCACAGCTCAATAATAGACTGCTGTCAGTTTTAGTAAATACAATTACGATTGTACAGCTTTCAAGATAACTTCATCGGTATATATATATATATATATGAATAGACTATAAAAGGTCAGATTGGATCAGTACACATGAAAATCAGTAACACCACTGTTCATATATTATGAATGTTTACAGGACAATAGAAATTTTATTTTTCGAAAGAAAATGAGGCTTGTTGAAGTGTAAGTTCTACAGAGTACTGCTCCGAATCTTATTTTAGTTGTCAGACTTTAGTAATTAGACTTCATAGTTAAAGTTAAATCAACACCATTTTAGGAATGGTCGGATGAGTTAGTGTAGGCTTGTGTTTGATACTTCTGTACCATTCTAAAAAATTTGATATACAACATATTCTAAAATGGCTACAAGGGTACGTTAAATTGCATAACTGAAATGATCCTGGGAATAGATGCCCAACTTTATCTACATCAAGTCCTATTAAAGACACTGGTCATTAAATTAGTTTTAACACTGCTCTTAAGCTAATGCACAAAAGTTAAACTTGCTAAAGCTCAAATCATTAAAAAGTTTAAACTTGTTTCATGTGATCAGAAATTACTTATTATACTAAATGTGACTTGGTAATTCAGTTTTAAGACAATAATATTTCCCCCTTTTATTTCTTACATTGTCCACGAGTCACATCTTTAAATTAACATTCTGATGCATGTTGATTTGTTACTGATATTTTCAAACCTGTAAATTTCTATACAAATATGTATGAAAGGTAAGTGTATGATCTAAATGTTCGAAATGTACTGCTAACGTACAATACGTGAGTCAGACAAGGCATTTTCACTGTCATCATCAGTGCAACTTAAGAAGAATAACCAAGAGAAGAAATTATTTGAGGTTAGATTAATGCAGAAGACTTATAACAATGACTTCGGATGTTCACTGATGATTAGTCATTAATGTAGATAAAATTAGTTTTTAGTTACAGACAGTATATGACTGAAAGAAACTCTCTGTTTCATGAATGACCATTAAATTGTCAAGGGAAATCAAATACCAAAAATATCAATGATGGTGTCGGTGAAAAACATTTTGAAAATTAACAAATGACGGAGACAGAATCGCACAGTGCTTACATATATCATGGTGTGAAAGCTAGACAACAGCTTAGTGGAACCCGGTTCGTCCAGTAGAGATGAAAAGCTTTTCTTAATTATATAGTTATATACATAATTTTTAGCGGTTTCTGGTGACTGAAAACAGTACTGTCTAGTTCGCTTACAAAGTACAACATAATTATGATTAATAATATATGAATCTTTAACCAAGGGAGAATAAAATGAGGATTACATTGTTACAGTTATCAGAACAGTAAATAGATGGAATTTCATTTGAATGTTCAGAAGAGAATAGGTAAACTGAGTTACAAAAGAAAAAATATGCTCACATACATGCGGGGTTGTTTGCTTGCATAACGTTATATTTCGGAAACATTTTCTGAATTAATCTAGTGAATTTACTGCATAAATGATAACAGTTAGTTTAATGCAATTAATACAACTAAAACAATTGTTGGCATACATTTATATATATATATATATAGAAGTTTTCTGTATCTTACGGCGGATAACTGAAGTTAGTATCATCGACATTAACAACGTGACGAGTACAATTATCAGTAATCCATCCCAAATCGATAACATTATTAGCATCTTCATGAGTATCAGGTTGCCAGGATACATTGTAAGACAAGCCTTGGTGTTCAGACGGCACAAAAGATGTTTCTGTTTGATCTGTACTAATATTAGTAGCAGTGTTGGTTTCTGAATCACACCAATAATAAATGTTTGAAGATGAATCAAATGATTCAAAAATTTTAGTTCTTTGATTGTTATCTTCACAGTAATATTCACTATTTGTTTGTGAAACACCAGGCAATAAATGTAAAGAAGCATTACCAATGTTCGAATGAAAATGACAAAATTCATTTTCTAACTTGGCATGGGATGGAGCAGTAATTTCGTTCATGTTGCTTAATGTGGCCTCCGATTTATTCATTATTGCAGATAAAAGTGATTTTACTCCTATACACTCATTCGAGTGAGTATCCAAAGGTTTATGAGTATATATAAAGTCAGGGTATGATCGTAAACTATACAAATTGTCAAGTGCTTGTTGAGGATTTACTGGTAATGTGTTTAATGCAGTAGGAGAATGTGATTGTGAATTAATTGAGTTCTCACCAGGGACAAACGAGCAGAAAAGACTGTCGGCGTGAAAAAGCTTCCTGTTTCTCTTATTTTCACCTGCATTGGTTCCACACACCAATTTCTTTCGTATCTTCTTATCACTTTTTAATGCTAAATTTAATAAATGTACTTTGTTTTCCAAATAAGCTTTAACATCCACTTTCTTGAATGCTAAAACCAAAAAAAAAACACCAACATGTCTTTATCCAAGGAATTGCTCCACGAGTTCAGTGTTAAGTGATTATTTACAAATCCATTTTGTTTTCTGCGTGTATTACTGACTTATTGTCAAAAGTGACCCCCTCCAACGTTTTCAACTATTAGAGAGCTTAATAATTAATGGACTCATGAATCAGATTATTTCCGAAAATGTTTACATGAGATAAACTTTCTGAGAACTAAAATACTACCACGTTTTTCGAAACATGTAACAACTATACCTTCGTTACAGGATTTCATCATGAGCTGACATTGGTTACAGAACCATCGGAAAACCTGGGAGTACTGGACAGCTGTTTCGTTACCCAGTTTGGGACTCTTCAGCGGTACGCACCCACCGGGGTTCGCACCCAGGACCTTCTGGTTACAAGGCGAGCTCGTATACCATTAAGCCACTGGGACCCGATTCAATGACCAGCCCATGAATTCTAACTTCTGCCAATTCACGATATAGCGCAACCGCTAGCTAGTGTCTTCGGCAAGTAATTGTCCTCACACCCTACTGGTCACGACTTCCCGCTGGAATCCCAGGTAACTCTACCTACCTGAATAGGGCTAGTCGCCAGTGAGCATCTCATTCATATTCAAGTATTGGTTTGTAGGGATTTGGTTGAATTATACCTTCGTTTGATTACTCTGTAAGTGACCTATGGTTGTAAGTTTTCCTCACAATTCATGCGGTCGATTCTATTAAGTGCAGTTTGTTATTTTTCTAAAAGTAGTCATACCACTAATAAGTAGTTTGAAAAACATTTGCAAATTGTCAACTGCGACATTCATTTCAGCATTGAAATTAGGGATAAAACATTAACTGATGAATAATGAGATATTAATCATAATGCATAAATATAAAACCATTTAAATGTACCCACCACACTGTGTATCATGCTATAACTACGAAAGTGCAATGTACAGCCATTCTCAATTATTCTTAGACAAATGATTTCGACGAATAATGAAAATATGTATTTCATATTAGCAGAGAAAACCTTCGACGTGTGCTTTTTATGGTGAAACAGAGTTTTTCTAAACAAAATTGACTGTTATTGTGGTTCCAAATTTGAATGCAAATTCAATATTAGTTTTTTTTTACTACAGCTGACAGAGGTTCCAACTTATTTATACATTGAAACAAAATTTTAATCTTGTATTGTAGTTATCGTATACCATATAAAATACTGTCAGCAGGGTAGCATAGAAGTAGTATTTGGACAAAACAGTCAAAAATTTCAACCACTTACCTGCATTAGGTGCCCTTTCACCATAAATTTCATCCTTTACTTCTTCACTCCCAACTGAGTATTGTTTTTCCAAACGACTTTTTTGATTAATGAATGAATGAATGTAAAATAACAACTTCAGTTTCGTTATAATTCATAATTAAAATGTTAAAGATTCAGCCACAAATTATATATGTTAGTATTCTTCATTTAGTTATATTATGTTATAATGTAAACTGTCTCGATGAGAAAAGATTAAGTAATGAAAATCCAAAGTTCATTCATGAAACTTTAAGTAGTCACTGAATTTTAGGTATTTAGAAACCGCAGTTACGTAATTTTGTAGGATGCAGATATATTTATTTGATTTTAGTGCGTCCGAATGAAAGGTAAGGAAAAACGAAATATATTCTTGGTGAAAATTACCTTTTATTCTGTCTTTGTACGAAATAAGGTATCGTATAAATAAGTCTTCTATTTAGGTAAAGCGTTAGCTTCATTACTGACATCAAAAGGTGAATAATCATTACTAAGTTGATTGAATTGTAATGAAAATACGCAAATTACTATGCAGCTGACTATATACGAGCGAAAGCGTTTATGCTTCATATCTCATATCTAAATGTTCAGCAGGATATTAGACAAGTTTATGTGTACGTCTTCACAGTTAATTTTAGTAGGCAGTACGATTCTTTTGACAAAGGTGACTGGACAGTGCATCTTCATTTTGTTCGTTTGAGCGCCAAACGCTGAATTTGATATCAGTACTAAGTAATATAAATAAAATTTTTATCTTAGTTGCTAAAGAATTTTGTTTTGTATTCCCTCTGTTTCGAAAGGAACATAGAGCTCCGAGCTTTCAGTTATCAGCTGTCGTAGTATTGTTTTTACTGGATGGTTTCGTTAACCCAGTCCTCCGTTTTTATGGTCTCAATACTGACTAGGCAAGGTTTAGAAGTCTGTCGACCTGAACTACCTGCATGTCCTACGAGCGTTCTGCCATTAAACAATCGTAGCAGACAACTGATAAATGATCTTGCAAAATTACCACAGTTTTCGTACTTATCTGTCTCGACGAACATATAGATTAGGCTTAGGTTTTACTGAATATCAATTTTATCACCTTATTGCACTAAATGTTACTGGTATGCTGCTTTCTTAGCTGGTTAACTCTTCCCCATTCAAATCACATATAATTGCAGTTGATTAATCAATGCAGATTGTCCTATCGTTTTGATCTTTGACACTAACTGACATTATAAGCTGGTTTCATTTTTCGCATTCATTTATTAGGTTTCCCTTTGACATCTTTTCAGAGTATGTGAAAATAAAAATACTGGGGAAATGTATTCTTAAATTAGATGAATAGCTGTAAGATTGGAAGTACTGACCTCAAATGGCTATAAAAACTGTCAAATCAACTTAAAGCACAAGCGGATCTTTTTAAATTACATCACATTTCAAGTCAACATAAAATGTCGTGTAAGAAAGCATGTAACTTTACAGAAGGAAACGGAAACATGTTTTATTTCCTTTCGAATTACCGCATCTCTCAAACGTTTTTTTCACACAAACCTACTACGGTGTTTACTTGAGATTCAAGTTACTCTAACTCAATTTTATTTTTATAACCACGATACTGATAAAGTTCATCACAAATGCTACCTTATATTCCTGTTTCGTTATTGTGGCATAACGTATCGTAAATTACTGAGATAGGGGACCCCAAGACGTTCTAGAAACCTACTGTAAAGGAGCAGATAATCGACCCTTTTTGTTCTTCCTACTTAATTACAACCTATATGTAGCATTGCCTTTATTATAACTGTGAATATCACAAAGTTCTGTGATTTTTTTCTCTGTACTATGTGATGTGAAGAGAACATTAGATGCAATATTGTACCGTAGCCTAATAATTCCATACCACATCAAAAGTTTTGTTTATAGTAAAACCACTGTTAGTCTAATTTCATTCAATTCTATTGATTATCGTCACGCTACATTAATATTAACGATCTTCTTATCAACTAAGCTAATACGGACTGAATCAGGAGTTTATACATATATATATATATTTGTGTATATGCAAAATTTTTTAATGTAATGATGTTATTTATTTTCTTAAAATAGTGCGCAGAAACTAATAACACCAAATGAAACTTAATGGAGACATACAGTTGAACTAATTTACTTAATTCCGATTACCTGAAGCACATTTGGATAATTCGTTTAGATGGAAACAATGTAGGAATTAGGCGAAATGATTAACTCCATAGTGTGTTCTTGCATAGAAATCAAAAAGAATTTATGACATTTAAAATAGTGTCTTAAGCAAATCATAAAGGTGTAGATGTAATACCACTCACCAGTGCTCAGAATCACAGTCTCGGAATCCTTTGGCGAATGGATTACTGGAAATTTTTAGTCGTGTCACCTACGATTAAATAAAAAGACTGATATAAAATTGCATATTCATTATTTATCGGCTCCTGTATCTTTCTACGAAACAGCATTTAGTTTATAACTTCTCAGAGTTTAGTTTAGCGCTTCGCAAATATATTATATTATATATTTCAATTATTATGTACTGAGTATGTAGAGTATGCAAACTGCTATGACAAACTCGGACACCTTGCCCTAACTCTAGAGGGTGACTGGAGTCGGTCTAATGTCACGCTAGTGCAGGAAAACATCCCGAGGTCCCAGCATTTCAGAATCAGTAGGAAACTACGGGGAGATTTTGATATAATCTTCGTGATACTTGGAGATTCAGAGGTTGTTATTATGACTACGAGTAATTGTGGATGTAAGGTATTAAACATTCTTGAGAACGAAAACAAACTTATTCTACAGCATTCATCCTAAAATGTGCAGTTATTGCTAGGAATACTTATGGTGAATGTATTAAAACTTCTTCTCCTGAATGTTTGTCTGACTAAAATCAACCAAATGTCGAATCTCTAAGTATGTCTGGTTTACTCAAAATACACTAACCCACTTTTTCACTTCACCTTATGATGCTAATGGGTGAATCATGAATGCATAATTTTGCTTAGTAGCTAATGGACCCACATAACCTAATCAAAAGAAATTTCTGTAAGTATACTGAAACTAACATTCGGACTGAATTACTACTTTTATGGCAATAACAATGACAACAGAAATATGCATTTGTTCTATGTAATCTCTTTATTCACTAGTGTTGATCTTTTTGTAGGAAGCCTACAAAGAAACAACAGCATCTGAGCTTACGTCTATTCCAGTATTGAAGTACCCTGATGAGGTTCTCCTCAATTTGTAGATTTCAACAGCAATGCACAGTCGGTATGCTGGAAGGCGAGTAAAGAATACTAACACAGGCTCTGACTGAACACAATTAGTCAGTGAAGTTCAGAAGCAGATATCAAGCAGTCGTAGCATCAAAACTTACACTCTGTTTTGCCATTAAGATATATATATATATATGCAATCGCATTAATACAAAAGTTATACACTGCAACTTCAAGGACATTTGACACAGCTAGGATCTATGTCATTAAGAATTTAAAGCCTAAACATCCTTCCTGACCCTTGGTACAAGTGAACTGAGTCTTCAGACCTATTAATGGTAGATACATACTCCAAGCCCCTCAAATGAGAAACAAATTATTAAGAAATAGCATGAAGTAAATGTCTGTCTTTTAAAAGCCATCTATAAAACTCCATGGTAGAATCCTAATGTTCTGAAGGCCTTAGTCACCTGCATGTGTTCACAGACGACTAATTATTTGATCAGTTCTACTTGGAAACCTTAGTTAATTTGTAATTGTGTCTCCCACTGCTTCTGCTTTATTGATCGTCATCGTTACACTGACCTTCTAATTTGACTTATGTTTGTTACCTTACCTTTTAACGCATTATTAATATAACATGTAGGTATGTCATTAAGTCTCTCAGAAAGCGTAGTAAAAATTCACTACACTATTCAGATGAATAAACTGAAAGTAACCAAAATCACCTTCATCACAGAAACCTGTTCACTAGGTCATTTGGCTTTACGATTATTTATCCTGGAATCAGTTATTAAAACCAGCAAAATGTTTAAAATCTCTGACATGCTACACGACAGTTATACCACTGAAGTCAGGAATGTTTTCTTCGTTATCCAAAAGCTAACATAAATCGAGTGTACATCAATCAGTTCGACAGCTATGGTTACCTTAATGATGGGACTTATGAATCAACAGTTCACTCAATAAAAATATTTTCTTTTCGAAAATGTGTTACATGGTCCGGATGACTTGTAACTCACACGGATATATTTTGATTTCATTATGTTTTCTAGGCTGGATGTTTTGATCATGAAACTTCCACTTTAGAAAAAATCTTTTGCACTAAGGGAATCATTTCATGAATAATGCCTAAATGAATCTGACTTACTGTCAAAAGTGCTAACTTTGTAACCATTGCACCATTGGAAACTCTTTGCATGATTAGTGAAACAGCACGTTATTAAAGCAAAGTCATTACTGTTAGAAATATATTCTGATTTGTCATACAAAACCAAACGACAGCCGTAAACAGAGCATTCATCAAATATCAGCATAAATTTTCTACGTGAAACATCAAGATATTTCTCACATGCATAACTGCAGCCATCAATAAACTATTTTTCCTAAGAAATTAGATAGAATCTCGTTTGTTCGTTCACACCAATCACTATGTTAGGAAGTACTAAGCTATTACGTGTTAGGTGTATTATATTATTAAGGGATAAAAACTATTGGTCTGTTCGTAAACTTACATGTTCTGATGTTACTTATTTCATTTAAATTTACGGTGAAAATTTAAAGTCTAGGGCCTTTGTTACATAGATGTGAGAAAATAAATAGCAAACTTGCCTTATTATTTTGATAGGCTGTTACAGCAAAAAAACTTGTCTCCGGAAACGTAAATGTTTTTTTAATACATCTAGGAGATTTAGTTAAAAACACGCCGATTTCTGTATCATTCTTTTTCACAACATCATCCATGTCATTTGCATAAATAACATTCAGTCTAGTTTGATATTTATGCATAGAATTCAATATAATCTACAATTTAGAAAAAAAGGATAAAATATCCGTTCACCAGGAATTTAATCATACTGCTCATGAACTCTGAAATAACTTATTTTACTTGAAGTAATTTAAAAATGTTGAGTGTGGTCTCCACTGTGGAATTATATTGGTCACGAAAGACCTAGAGAAGTATGATAAAATATAGGAGATACATAAATCATCCTTTCCTTGAAAGTCTCAGTAGATTACCAACTCAAGATGTTTTACGAAACTGATTAGCATTTATAAACAGAACCAAATAAGTCTCGTCAACTGGCTAATAAAGTTAGTACTGTGCATACAAAGTTCTATGTGCTGACGAGGTCGAATTTAAATAACTTCACTTCCCTTGGACATACTACTGATAGTTTTTCAAGCATTTAAAGCTTTCCAAAAATATAACAGCTTAAAGCACGTAACTCCCAAAATGTTCTCAGGAAATGGAAAGTGTAGTATTAGCAATATAAGACAAAGAAATTAATAAACAACCATTTAATATGTAAAAAGTCTCAGTTCAGTTTTCACCATGAAATGACATCGGCTAGAAAATCAATTTAAAACCTGGGAGTACTCGACAGCTGTTTCATCCTAGTTTGGGGCTCTTCAGTAGTACGCACCCACTGAGGTTCGAACCCAGGATCTTGTGGTTACAAGGCGAGCCTGTGGACCATTTACCCACTGGGACCGCATGCAGTCACTTATGAATTCCACCTTGTGCGAATTCATCATATGGCGCGACCATTAGCGAATGTCATTGGCGAGTATTTGTCTTGACACCCGATCTGCTGCACCCCACTGGTCACGACTTCCTACTAGAACCCAGGTAACTACCTACCTAAATAAGGCCAGTCACTAGTGAGCATCAGATTGATATTGAAGTGTTGGTTTTCAAAGATATGATTGGTTTTAAGATTTCATTATCAGCCCTAGTGGTTGCGTACTCATGAAGAATCCCAATTAGAGACCAAACAAGTGTCCAGTACTCCCAGGTTCTGCCATGGTTCTCTAACCAATGTCAGTTCATGATGAAACCCTGAAATCAGTCAAATCCCTGAAAACCAACATTCGACTATCTAAATTCAATATTTCCGAGTTATTATTTACCACCCTCAATCGATATTGATTATGTGAAGAGAAGAAGGAGTGTTACATTTGTCTTACTTTAACACTGCTAAGGTGAATGTATGTACAATAAATATACCAGTTCTACTCAAGTGAAACATTTGAAATGAACACAAAAACAGACTTACAAAGGATCTACTTGTAAATGCAGGTTATCAAAGAACAAGTTAAGAAAAGTAGTAATGTTTTCAGATGTCCTACATTTAGAAACGTATATCAAACACAACAATCATTGTAAAGATGTTATTTTCTACCAAATGATAAGAGAAATTGGAAATAAGAATTCACTACCTAAATTATTAGGAGAATGGTCATTTTCTTATTAATAATTAGTTAGAGAATTTTTTCGTAATGGTTTTCACAATTCAACTTAATTTTTATATTTTCACTCTACCGTATTAAAAGTCTTACAATCAAAAATTTAATGTTAGCGAGAACTTTATGTTTCTTCGAAGCTTCGTGCTTCAGAAAGCGTGATTTTGTCATTCACTCAAATGTTAACAACTATGTGCACATATATTGGCTTTATGCGGTATGTCAGAAGACGAGAAATGCAGTTTTTAAATTTCGTCTGCTTGTTGAGACAACGAAGACTGATCAAAATTATCCAAATGTAAATTAATTAGAACTCATAACGAATAGTGAAATTGCAAATTCAGCAGCATTTCCAGACTAATAATTCAATTTTGCTATTTTCATTCTGTATTTGTTTGCGTGCGTATATGAATGGCAACACTTAAAATTTATGATTTAATAAAAGAGACTATGTAATATGAACAGCAGTTAAGAGTACACATTTCTGAGTAAGAAAGAAAGATAATATTCAAGTTCGTTAAGCAGTTTTGTTTCTGAAACATGCTCAGAATGCTTATTCCATGTGTTTTTCCGAATAAATAATTGATAGCAATTTTTCACCGAGGTTAGCATGTTCGTCATAAATATTATCTATATTGAAGTCTAAAACTTTTAGGTTCAGTATAAGTGAAATAATAGTTTTGAATAAGGCAGATATCGCGAGATGATATCATTTTTCTTCAAAATGCCTTATTCAAATTTATCAAAGGGACTAATTGTTTTAATATTAGTTTTGAGTTATTTATTATAATACAAGTACAATTAGACGTCTGTCAAATGACAATTTATAGGAAATAACTGAAATTTGACCTATTTATTACAGATGATTTTATTTGGAAAGTTAATTTATTCCCGATGGATTTACTCCTAAGTTTAAAGAGAATTTGAACTGCAGTAAGATTCGGTATCACGGCTTCAAATTACTGACTGTACATTTTACCCAAGGAGATGTTTCACTGATTTACTTTAGAACATTAGTATACCCTTAACAAAATTTCTATGTATTCTGAACATTACTCATGGATCGAAGGTAAATACAAAAACATATCTCACCACTCTCATTTATTATTACTTCTAAAGGAATATATAAACAATGATCTGTTCAAAAAATATTATTTTAATATTTTTAAGCTCTGTTATCTTTCATAACTTACACTTTTCTCACCAAACAAAGAAAATAGAAGTATATATAGTATATATGAAGTCACTTACATGACCATTTTGATCAAATGGATTATTAGTTAATTTTAGTTTATCAAATAGAATCGCTTGTCGCATCCAATACTTTCCACTTGCTATTCCATCTGGATGTAAATGTACTCGAGGTGTAATCTGAGGGTCACTTTTGCCTAATTTATTAAAGTAAAATAAAACAAACGATTATTAAAATTCCTCAGTTATTTAATTTATTACATTCTTCACTATAGATTCTACGATTTTATAAAAAACAAATACAGCCAGGGCCAAAACATAGAAAACAGTCTATTTGCTTCAGCCTGAGAATAATTAAAAAGTTCGCCGAACTGAAACAGAGTGAAAATGATTCTGTATCGATTAGTTTTTGTATAGTGAAAATACATATTCATTTTGAAAAGAGGAATAAATCCAGAAATACTCGTTATTATGTAACTAGTATATTTAGATTATGAATTTTGTGAGGATTTGCAATAATTTTAATGTAGACAATCAAAATAATCTCTAGCTGGTGTTAGTTCGTGATGAAATCTGCACTGAAATAGAAAAAAATTATGTTGAAATTTATAGTTTTAATTAAACAGTTTCCCTTCAGAACCATTATTATACGATGAAACAAAAGTGGTACCCCATATACATGTGATTGTCAGTTTGGGTATGCCAATAGGTTTACAAAGCATTTTGTCATTGTTCCATAAATAACACTATTTATCCTTTAGTCTAGTATAACACTTTGTGACGTTTTATTTCATCACCGTACTACTGAGTCCAAAAGTAGAACTAAACAACTGTTCACTACTCCGTGGTTTGCACTGATTCCCTAACTGATGTCGGTTAGTGGTATAACTTGACAGCCAAATATACTTAACCGTTGTTTTCAAATCTTACTGATTATAAGCCTACACCAAACACCTTTTTGTTATAACTGGCGAATATTACTTAAAACGACAAGATGAATCTTCTTACATCGTTCTCACACTATGGAGTATTTAAAAAATGACGGAAATTTGAAGCTCTAACAAAAATGTTTGAAATCTATGTTGTTATAACACCATATACCAGTGAAAATTCATTAATTCATTATGTACACCCAATGGGAATTTAAAGTGAGGAATATAGAACAGTTGTTTGTGTAACCAATTTCCTCATTAACTAACCTGCATGTTCCCAACTTGAAGTACGAAATGAATATCGATAACGCTTTTCATCACAAGGTATGAATTCCAATGCAAGCAAATACAGAGCTTCAGGATGTAGTCCAGAGAGACGAACATGAAAATTTGGAAACATCCTCCTAAATTAATCAACACAAATCTTATAGTTGAATAAAGTTTTTGTAGGAAATTACTGATGGGAAAAATATTTTTCTTTAAATATAATTAAGCGCCTTGTTTTCTGGCAGCCATTTACTAATATATAGGATCACATCATACTGAGTGCACTAATCAGCACTTACACTTAGATGAATAATTTTCTAATCAAAACTGAGCCTGATAAATTCTGTATCATGTATATATACGAAATAGCAGTAAAGGTAGTGAAGACACGAATTCAAGTGGACATGGAGAAGATAAATGTAGTAGAGATACCCAAGCAACAAAAACCAGCACTGGTCACCATCAACAGGATGAGTCTAACTGAAGCATCGTTGCGACTACAGGTAAAAAGTATAGATGAGTATATCAAAGCCAGCCAAGATACGAAGAACAAAACAGAGCGACTTACTCTGAAATATGCGTGGATATCTGATATACTCTGCATAAATAGAAAAATAGGAAATTTTAAAGTAATTTCAGGTCAGTGTGCATCACGAAAAGCATTTATAGTAGGCTACAGCAAACATCAATTAACAGATGGCTTTACCGTCTCAATAGTGAACATCACATAGCCGGCTGGAAAGGATAAGCGAAGTGTAACCCTGGTAATGACTTAATTAAGATCCTATCGCCCCAGAAATAAGGAAAAGAAAATTGATTAGACATACGCTAGGAGACGACAAGTTGGATGTATGCGCAGTTAGCGTTCAGATGAGAATTTATATTATTATATATTTTATTTTATTCCTTTGAGTTCCCAGTGGAACATTAGGCTTCGAGCCAGAGCTTCGAAATCTCAGTAACAGTGGTGTTTTTTATGGGATGGGGTTGCTATCCTCACACCCAAACTTCCCTCTTCACTGAGCTTACTACCGGATAAGCGAGGTGAAGGAGTACGTCGGCCGGGGATCGAACTGCGGACCACTTTGCTTGGTTGGCCAGTGTCCCACTACTGAACCACCGAGGCTCAAATGAGAATCAGTATTCCCAAATTTTTAAATAAACCATCTAAATCAATCTATCTGTGGGTTTTCAAGTAGCATACACAACACCTACACTATGATTTAAAATGTAGTGAGAATTTAAGTATATTTGTTGAATAGCAAGAAAATTGTACACTGATGTTTACTTAATGAACAAAAAGAAATGCAAATTAACTAACGCTCAGATGAAAAATATTTATGTGAATGAAATAACTAACCGTCCACATTTAGTCACAATCATCTCAGTACCTATTTGATCAAATTTCGCCCACAGAGATGCATTCTCAAGTGAAACCGAAATATTATTCATTTTCTGTATTTTCCACATATCATCATCGTTTTTTATCTGACCACCACAATTGCCATGAACTAGTTCTTTCATAATGTTTGGGACTGTTATATCTTCAGTTCTCCTCGACAACTTATTCAGCGGTATATTGCTGGAAAGTATTTCAACATCTTGAGAAATCGAAGATGGAAATCCGATGTCTTCTTTGGTAGATAAAAGACAATGAGTTTCTTCTTGATAATTTCGCTTGTGATATTTAAATATGCTGAAATCACTTCCATCTGATGTTGTATTAAATGACGCATTACTGAGATTATAGATAGTTTCATTACAATTTAAATTTGTATAATAATTACCTGTATTAATGCTAACAGGTTTTTCAAATGAAGGGTGTAACTCACTGACTTTGTGTAAGTCATGATCACTTGACTGAAAATTATGATTACTAAACATAATCTGTATAATATGCTGACATAATTCACCCAAAAATTAGATTAGTTTACTCGTGTTTATAAGTTATGCCCAAGTGGCTAATTTGATTCAATAAGATTATATATATATATATATTTGAGCAGATAAATGTGTCAAATGTGTGTTGCATATTACAATTTCCCACTTATTCTTAAAGTTCACACTATGCAGAAGTTTTTAATATTTAGCCATCACAACCATTTCCTAACCCTATTTTATACATTATTGAATTAACCAATTGAAATTACGGTTATAATATTTGCGTTTCTGTTGTCTACACACTTTCACCTATTGATGTTGGGAAAATTTAGTGAAAGGGGGGGGGGGGGAAATATTTACAATGTTTGAGGGAAGAAAAGTAAAACTGACTTTTGAAGCATATACATATTATGTATGAATATTTTTATATGTACGATGTCCATCTAAAACTGAGGTGGATAATAGGTTTCGCACACTTCAGTGTCGTATTATTTAAATATTGTTCACATGTGTTGATGTCTAACAAGTCGTTATCAGAAGAAATTGTAAATAATACACGGATTAGTATTCTTGAATACCATGAAAAGAAATTGCCCATAATTATTTTTCCTACAGTGTTGAGGAAATGAATTATTTAATATGGGACATTCCATAAAATGAAAGCTATCTATCTTCACAATTATAATTTACTTTAAGGTCTCTAATTCCAATCATTTGAGGGAGCAACGCTGACACAAAAGCAGTGCAGCGGCCTTTTTCATATTAAAGCACGCTTAATTCCCTTGTACGCTGAAAAGCAAAAAAGATCAGACAGCCAAACAGACAGATTTTAAGCTAAAATGCAACTACTACGATGAAGTCTTCTTCTGAATTTTAACACTGCATGAGCTACTAATAAGAGTGCTATCTTTTAGTAATCATGCAAATACGATATCATGGAATTCACCCATCATGACTGCAAGCAAAATCCTGTAATATCCATGACGAAGTTGCTGATTAATTTCCTAAATGACTGCTCAGTTTCTTTCCAGAAAGTTAGAAATGAGGCTACCAAATGAAAACTATTCTTGGTACTTATAAAAAGTGCAACACAAGACACAGAGAACGCCCAATAAATCTTGTATTTCTAAAAGTTATGATTAACTATGGGGAACAACGAAGGTTTTTTCTTCCTGTAAATTCTAAAAGCATTCATATGAGTATGTGAAGTCCTGTTGCATCCATCAGTTTACATATGTGTGTGGTGATATATGTGTAGGGAAGGATGAGGACCACAAGCTCATTCCTAAACGTCTACATCAGTGGCTTAAGTCATCTCATTCAATTTATCCTAGAAATAGTTTTCCAGTATCATCTATTTTAAGGCACATTTTAGAGATAATTTAATAGCTGGATATACCAAACCACTGGAGTTCTCTTTGATTTCTATTTTACGTCTAAATCTGGGTGGAAAACTGCTTTTCAGGAGTTTTCATTGAAGAATTCGCAATTCTTCATCAGAATTGTCAACTAAGTAAATTCTTCTGACCATTCAGTAGCGTAAGTATGCATGACTGCTATTGCTAAGGAAGGTTACCTGGATGAGTACTGAAGATGTTACCGAAGCTGGTGATGAGACGTCTCTGATCGAATAACGAAGCGGGAAGAATATCAGACAGTTTCCGTCCTCATATTGAACCACAATTCGTCTTTAATACTCCACAGTCACCACTCTTTAGAAAGTAATAAACTTTCTTCATTATACAGACTTTTCGTAAACAGATTTTCGCAATAAACTATCATCTTTTCTTCGTTCGTAAACACGGATTTTAATAAGCTGCTGAGACCTATAGGCTTTTAGAATGAAGCTGATGGGTGAGCAGGCTTTACCAAAAGTGTCCAGCAATTTTTGGAAATCTATAATCGCTTTACAAACATTGGACGTATCGCAATTCCATTTTTTATGAAAACAAAGCTCACTGACTTTTCTTCAGAAGCTGTTGTTTCCTGTTCGTTCAGTAAAACAAGAAGTCCGTTCAAAGGCACCAGCTGCTACACAAGTTATTGGTTGTAGTTATATCTCTATTATGAAGTATTAGCATGTTACAGGAGTAGGTTCTTTAAGGCTTGAAGATATATATATATATGTAAAAATCAGTACTTTTAAGTAGAATAAAATGAAATATGCAACAACTGGTTTCTATCACTACATCATTTGTGAATAGGAATACGATATCTGATAAAACTGAGATTTCACTTGCCTAGTTAGTATTCTAAAAGTAAGATATGGCACTGAGATTTTCACTATCCCGATAATCTACACAAAATACTCCTGATATTTGCTACCATATATATAAACATCGTATGAACATCATTTATTACAGTGGTGCTAAAGAGAGTAGACATTATTATGAAAAGTATGGTAGAATGTAGCATTTTTGTGAAACCATTTAAATAAGTTTCTATGAGTATGTTACAGACTAAACCAGTTCACAATAAATGCATGCTCTATAAATAATAAAATATTAGGATTTAGAAAAAAACTGGTTGATTATTGTAACATAAATTGCAGCTATGGTACAAACCAAGGGTGCGTGGATCTTTTCTAGTCAAAACAGGCTGGCTTTGTCACCAATGTACATGGTTTTACACCTTTAAGATTATTGGGTATTCTTCGTTCAACGTATGGTAGAGAGCTTCATTTTGGTGACCGATCTCAACATACTATTATAAAAGTCAAAACAACGCTGCTGGAATTTTTCATGTACAGGAGAGTCACAATAACAAATACTAAACAAAATATCAGAGGGAAATACGATTATTTTTAATATTTTAAACACGAGATTATCAAAAATGTTCAGGTGGACATGATAATGAAATATTGGGATAACAGGATAATTTATTATGTAAAACAATGAATCTTATTTTGTTTCTTCATGACAAGAAAAAATAGATAGATAGATGTGAGAAACTACACAAAACGAATGAGTAGCTACTGAGATTCACAACGTCAAAACCAACGAACATGTCTCACGCAAGATTTCTTATATCTTATTTACAATTTTTGTTTATTTCTTTATCTTACACAAATGATCACATACGGTTAAACGGAAGATTCTGTTCAGATAGTAATTCACCCCCTTCCTCCCAGAAAACAAATAAAACACTTTAGTAGTAGTGGTATTTCTTATAAAAGTAGTAATTTCACTTATATTCATCAGATGATGAAACAACTTTTAGTTGATAATTGTTTTACTGATCATTTTAAACTAAGTCTTATATGACTGCCTTTCTCCTCTTCGCTGTCAAAACTAAATATACAAGAATATTCATTACTTTTGATTTTCTTTTCGAAGAACTTCAATTTAAAATATACAGTCTAATAAGCAGTTAATGTTAGTAGTGATCATAGCAGTTACTGTCCTAGTAGTTGTGACTGTCTCCTACATCATCGTCCTCTTTTAAATTCCATTTTCACTTGACTTCATTAAATTACTAAAACAATATTATTTATAATTTCTCCAACTGATTCAGTGTCATAAAATTTAAAAAGGGTAAAATTGTCTATTAGTTTGAAAGAAAGAGCGTATCTATGGGAACTGAATGGAAGTGTGTGCTATTTTAATTTATAAATATTATATCTATTTCATACAATCTTAACAATAAAATCTGTGTTTCTTAGTAAAGTGGCACATGCAAGTGGATGTATACTAGTTCTTCTCATCGGATAACTGGTAGTGCAACATAAACCCCTGCACATTAGCATCTACCAAGGGGGTGGATAAACCTTAACATGTTGTAAATTCATGACATTTTATGTGTAAGATTGCGTACTAGTCGTTGGTTCTACACTGATTTCTTGTTGCTTTGAATTTATATAGTCCTACCATCAATATTTTTATTCGCTTTCCTATGGAATGACAGTAAACAAACAATAAACACTTCAAAACTTACTTAATTAAGAAAAATACTAAATTGCAGTTATACTGTATATATATATATATGTTCAACATATTTTATGTTGAGAATTTTATAGCTTTAAGCAAGCCTAATTGCGAACAAAGATCTCCAGAATAAACAAGATCAATAAAAAAGATAAAAGAACATAAAAACTGTAGTCGACGCGTAATGATGGTAATCATTTTTAGTTAAGGTAATTATAAGATTCCAATTTTACGTCTTAAGATGTTATCCATTAGCCAATGTATGCATCTAGGTACAAAATAATTTAAGTCTAGTAAGAAGCATTTTACATCATTCTAAAAGATATTTTTATCGCTTAAAAGTTATTTAGATCAACATTCTTCCAGGACCTTATTCGTCCCTTATACGTTTCCTGATTCATTAATTTAATAATGAAAAAAATGAAATGTTGCTCAAAACCGCTTAAAACTTCTTGCCGTCTATAATGAGCCAGACCTACTGTAATGAGTGCTAGTGACACTAAGTGGCTGCCCGAACCTGAGTAGCTGGAGAGGGTTTTGAACCCGTTATGTACTAGTTGAAGGATGAGCCGCTAGACTAATGGGCTTCAGCTACACTAATTTATTAATACTTCTAGTGATAACAAAATAAATCCACGTTCATCTTGGTTACAGCGAACTATTTTATTAAAATTGACAGTGGTCAGTTACCCAAAAGCAAAATGTTATTTATAACCAGACGAATGTATAATTTATTCTAACCGAACATTTACATCTTTCTTAATAATTATCATGAATAGAAAGCTTAATGTTCTTCAAAAAAGTTTCTCTACGTGTACCTTTCACTATTATGCTTGTGGTGAGAGCTGTCTGCTAGCCAAAATTGGTAGACAGAAATTTACGTCAGTGTTTACGTTCCATATCTTGGTCATGAGAAAGAACAAGAACAAAGACTAACTCAATAGCCAATCACAGCGGACTTTGCGTGGGAGGATACGATTCGCAGATGTATGGTCTGACCTTCAAAGAAACGGCCACAAAGAGATAACAGATTAACTTTCGGCGAGAAAACAACCAATCTGAAGACGCAATTTCTCTGCTAATAATAGCGAATAATAATGTACATAAAATTGTATACATATCGGTTGATTTTCTCAATAAATGATCTGTTGCCTGGCCCTTGTCTTCTGTCGTTACAAGCTCACTGTTTTAGCAAACTAATCTTATTTTCCCTCAGACGCTAGTCAAATTAGAAACCAACTTGTCTGACATCTGTTTCTATCTCTGTTTATA